AATTGCGTATCGAAGTGTTGGAAGCCAAGGAAACTCGTCGACAACACACGAATCTAAGCGCTAGATTGGTAAGAGCCACAAATCATCCCGTGAGAAGTGAACTGAACTGAACTGAACTGAACTGAAAAGGACGGTGAATATGAAATATCGGGGAATCACTTTGGTTGGGCATAGCTACAGAGGCTTCTGTTCAGCTCGGAATTGGATCACTTCTCATCAGGAAAGTTTCTGCCCCGGTACAGGAAACAACAACAATCAAATTTTCATCCTCCTTTAAGAACTCTGGAATACCGCCACACATTCCAATGTGATCCCATTGAAATATGCTTCATCGGTTTTGGGGCCACTCTCGACTCAATAAACCGCGATGCATTGCGGACGGCGGCGACGTCTCAGTCAAGCATCGTAATCTGATCAAGTTCTATCGACTAGTTCGATACAGAGATAAGCGTCCACGGCGAACAATCCCCTTTTGTTTAAACTCATTTCGGGAGTACGAAAATTATGTCCGCTATCTCGCGATTGCAACCATTCGTCGAACCAGGCTAGCAGTGATTGCAGACAAACTTGGAACCGGTTCAACATCTCCAAGGTGCCGGTTGCAGAAAGATAAAGTGAATCAGGTTCCACTGAGTTGTAAGCAAACGAATGTTGCTGGGTTCTTTGGAATACAATTAGTATAGTTATTTCATTGTCCTACTAATAAATAGCTCAAGTAATTATATCTTGGTCTTCAGATAGTTCAAAAAGTGATTAGTCTAGTGAAAATAGTAAAGAATAGTGAGTATTCTCCGGGCAAAGCTACCACAGAGATCACAACCACTAACCAGATGTGTAATGAACCGCAATTCAAAGCAGAGCACTTTCTTTCGAAATTCAATTTTCATCATCGTCAGTGGAATTCGTTATATGAGTGAGGTTGTAGGTTGCAGGTTCCGCATGATTTCTTGTCCACACGCGACAAATTAACTGACCGATCCGGCTAAATCTTAAAGGAGAAATTTGTCATGTATATGGAAAATGAAGCGTGAACAGAAAAGCTAGGAAATACCCACTGGACAGCTGTTTCGACCTGGTTGGGTCTCATCAGCAGGGTGCGAATCCATCGATCCAACTGGGGATCGAACCTGGGACCTCACTGGTCGAAAGCAAGCATGCTACCCACTCGGCCATCGGTCAGCTGTTTAGACCGTTTTTCATTTTCCAATACGCAATGTAGCGCAGCCCATTTTTGCGAGCTTGTTGTGGGCCACAGACCTCGCTTATCTCAGCATTAGCCTCGAGGGTTACGACTCGGTTGGAAACAATCACAACGTGACCACTTATTTCAAGTGAGTAATGGAGGATTTGTTTCAGTCTGTTACTCACATAGCAGCGAACCGTAAAAAATGTGATAATTGCGCATACAGAGTGTCTCTTCAATCAAAGAGGTCGCCCTCGCTACGATCAAGGAGTAAATATCGATCACATGAATTAGTTCGGCTTCATCTGGTGCAAACCCAGCACTTTGTCTCTGTCGTTTTTATTCAAACAGTCTGAAGTTTAACAGTAAAATAAGCTCCCTATTAACACACACGTAAATTGTATTGGATTATAGGTATTTGACAATTTGTGTTGTCCAAATGTGTAGTCTGAAATGCTACAGTTAATACAGCCATTGTGTGAATCGAATAATCGCGGCTTCTCCACAAAACAAAATTTTGAAACTATTCATTTCTTCCTAGACTCTTGTGATTGTGCAACCTTGTTATCGGTTTGATTTCCCGTCGCGTCATGCGACCTCGTGATAATTGGTTCAAGGTCACAATATCAACCAATATTCATAGTTTCACATAATGTGTGGAAGATTCATATAGGTATTGATCAAACTCGTGTTAAATGATTCCCCGTTTTGAACATACATTTCAGCTTTCAGTATCATCCTTGTATATCGAAAGCTGTGTGAAGCATATTTATTACGAACTTTAATTCCCACTGTAATATATATATATATATATATATTGGAGTCAGCCTACACATGTGGTATCCCTTCCTATTCATCTTTGCCTATCTCCGATCGAAACATCACTATCGTTTACGTGTATCAGTTAGCATTAAGTCACGTGCAAGCCGGATTTCACGTTCCGATTTGATAATTTCCCTCATCGCTGAACCCCGTGCTTAATTCGTGCGAATCCTTTCTGTCATCCGTATCCCGGGGTCCCGCAACAGATGTGGGGCGTTTCAATCTGACACATATCCTCGTATAACTTCAAATCCCTCTCCCCCCCCTCCGGGTCAGATATCCAACGCATTGCTCTTCTGTGATAAACGTAGTTCACAGTTTGTATCGTTTTTCTACTCATGTATCTCCGTGGTTTTCGCAATGATAGCTGATTCACTGTGAGTCTGAAATCGCCATCCGTAATGAATCAGGTGAATACTTTGACTTCAGACTGTGCACTAAACCAGATGATCAAATCTCATGTGCCCAGGGTACAACCGTTGTGAAAACTGTCTACTGTACAGCAGTGACTGTACAACTAACTTGAAAACATTCTCGTTTTCTTTTTTATTTTCCGTGACCGATCGATTGAAAGCGATTGGTACCGAACCAGTTAATTTTTTGATCGTGATCCGTGTTCTTATTAGATCGTCTAATTAGATCTTTGAATTCATAGCCCCGCCCTCTCTCTCTCTCTCTCTCTGTCTCTGTCTTTCTCACGTGTCCATATTTTTTACAGATTGTTTATCAATATTCTCCTTCACCATCACGGAGAACATCCGATTCGTTGACTGTTCCAGCTCACGTCCACACATACACACACACACACATACATACATACATACATACACACATTCGTCAATCTCATGTTTCCGTTCCCCGTCGAGATGTGCTTCGTTCATACAAAACGATTTATGCGAAAAATTACCGTTGCTTTAAAAAGTGAAACAAATAAAACTGGCCGTAAAACAGAATATCGATCCGGAAAATGGCATTTCCCCTTTTCAATGGGTTCTATCCAAACCGGTTTTTTATTGTGAGCCGCGGTTTGCGTCGAAATATCAGACACATCAAAGTTAAGCAGTTTTTTTCTTTCCTCAAAATTACAAGGTTTGATTCAACTGAAATAGATTAGAATCATTTCCAAACATGTTTAATTAATCCCGGAAGGAAAAGAGTGTCCCGTCATAAACGCGTGACGAACAACAAGTCTCTCTCTGTCTTCCATTGTGACACCTTTCCACCTCGTTAAATTCTGGATTCAAACTTTGTCTTCCCTCAATCTATCGGATAGGTTCGGTTGGCTGAAGTAAAACCTTGACGACCTTGAAGCTGTTCTTGCATGTTGTTTGTGTGTCGGCGAGATACGTTTTCTTATCCCAATTGGGGAGATGATTGAATGCATGGAAACGGGGTCGGTTGGTCTGGCTTGACATGGGTTTACAAATATGTCTGACCTCTCAATCAACGATCGAACGAGATTTGTGTTTCATTGGTGAAAACTTCCGGGATGCATATGCTTCTAATTTGATGATAAAAGGAAACAGATGTTCCACATTTCGTACCGTCCGATTAATCGATAACTGAATCACAACATGTCAATTCGATTAAACACATTGAGCATCAACACACAACCGAATTAAGTATTATCGCGAACGGGGTTAGAGGGGATATTACGTCATTACACAAATGTGTAATTGTCTGGTGTGATGAAATCGGTGAGCTTAGTGTGATGTTTCAATGTGTGTTTTGGAAATAAACGGTTAGAGTCTGTTGTTATTGTCGTTATTATTATTATTATTATTATGGATGTTTGTGGTGGTGGTGTTGGTGGTCTGGAGAACGGTTACATTCGACGAGCCTAATGAGGTGCTTCATTTCTGGTCCATGAATAGTTTAGAAACAAATCCACAGTTGCTGACCAATTTTGGATCACTTCCACTTGTTGGACCCACGTGCAGTGGGCCTCGTTTTGGACGCTACTCCAGATCAGATCCCGGAGTAAATGTTGTGAACGGAAATTCTGTGGTCAGTCAGTGAGGGCTGGTGAATAAACTGGAAAATGTTGATCTATTCGGTACACCACCCCCTATTCAGGGGAAACGGGTTTGTGAAACAAAATAATTTTAGTTACAAATCTTGTCTAAAGTCCTACAAAGAACAGCAAACTTGGCCGTCAAGAGACATCGACAAAATTGGAACAAGAGTTGTTTGGAAAGTCAAAACGCGGTCTCAATTTCCAGCTTTACGATAACATCCCGGTGACTCAATCAGGACCGAATTGGACTCCTGTCAAGCCGAGTACATCTTTTACTCAAGTTGAGTTAGATTAGACCATAACAGACAACCTAGAACGTGCTCAGTACATCCATCCAACTGCGGTACAGAAATACGCCTTGCCTATTATCGCAGTCAAGCGTGATTTGATGGCATGCGCTTAAACCGGATCTGGAAAGACGGCGGCGTTCCTGTTGCCGATTCTAAATCGGTTGCTGAAAACAGGTCATGATGATGAACAATCTCCACAGTCCACGTCATTGGTGAGGTTTCACGGACTGCTTTGGTGCTTGCACCAACTTGGGAGTTATCGTGCCAGATCTACGAGGAGGCACGTAAATTTTCATATCGGTCAAAGCTGTGTCCGTGCATTGTGTATGGTGGTGCTTCCATCATGGCCCAAGTGCGTGACCTAGCGCACGATTGTAACATTTTGGCCTATTAGTCGGGGTAAAGTTAGCTTAGAGCATGTCAAGTATCTTACTTATCCTTGATGAGGGTGATCGGAGTTTGGATATTCGGTTTGAACCTCAAATAAGATGCATTGTAGAACAGCATCGAATACCCCCTGCCGGATAGTGATAAACGTTGATGTTTTCGGCAACATTTCCCAAAGAAATTCAAACTCTTGCTCGGGACATTTTGCAATCCTACATTTTTCTCGCAGTTGACCGTGTTGGAAGTACAAACGAAAATATTGTGCAAGAAGTTCTGAACGTTTTAGACAAAAATAAATCAGATGTGTTTGATTCGCTTGCTTCCAGAGAAAGCAGATCCAGAAGGTCTTGTTTTGGTGTACGTGCAAACCAAACGAGGTACAGACGCTTTGGCTCATTATCTTAGTCAGTTGAACTTCCCTGTGGCTTCAATCCATGATGATGATAGACCACAGTCAGATCGAGAACGGGCATTATCTTCATTCCGTGAAGGACGTACACCAATTTTGATTGCTGCCGGGGATTGGATATACCGAATGTGAAGCATGTGATCAATTTCGATCTACCGTCTGATATTGAGAAGTATGTGCATCGAATCGGTCTCACTGGGCGAGTGGGTCAGCCTGGATCAGCCACTTCACTTTTTTCGGAACGTAATCAGAACGTGATTCGAGATCTCGTGGAACTGTTGCGTGAGTCGAAACAATCGATTCCGCCTTGGTTCGAAGCTCGACTGACTTATTCCAGTGGGGACAGCCGGCGTAGTAAGAACAACAGTGCCGCCAAAAAAACGCCGTCCAAACTACGGTTCTTTTAATTGCCGGCAACACGGAAATCGGGGGAGTAGCTAAGTCAGCACAGTCCCAATGACTAACAACAACAACTTGGCTAACGGTGACTTTGGTCTTTTGGGTATTGTTCACTTCTATTGGCTGTTAATAGCACCGCTCGTTGTCCACCTAACAGAGGACACACGTCAGCTGCATTTCATCCTAACGGTCAGTTACAGCCGCAACAGTGTAATCGACTGATTTATCGAGGTGGGCATGCGTCATTAGACGCCGAAGGCCATTTACTGGGGTAGATCAGTAAGTTCCACTAGGTATGCCTCCTCCAATACCCTTGATTCAGACACAACTAAGGCCTCAACATCCCCATCCAACTGCCCTGTTGCCACCGGGGATGCCGTCTGCCGCTGAGATGTATCAGTTTCTAGCGGCCGCAGCGGCAGCCGGTTTACATCCGGTACTGGAGCCCCGTTCCCGAGAGCGACTTATCAGGCGTTTCACCATGTCTCCATGTTCTCTACTCCAAATTCAGTTTCGGCCCACCACACGATCTCGTCTCATGCTCGTGATGGTACCGCAACTACCATGGTTTTCCCACCTCCGACAGGTCTTTTCCACAACGGGGGATCAG